TCGCGCCAATGTTTGTGTTGTGTTGTTCCGGAAACCGATGAGCAAATAATAAAGGCTAAACTACAAACTAAAATAATAAAGGGAAACCATTCCATCATCATAGAGGTATATTTTCTTTAGCAAGTAAGCAAGGATACCTACCCGTACCTTAAAACCTCTATGTACTTTTGGAAGGGATTAGTAGTAATGATTGATCATGTCAAACTCCTATAATGAATTGAAAAACATGCACCACTACAATCTATGAAGGGTCTTGGTTGCAATACTATGTGAGGAAGTACTGTTTCAAGGCCAACGGTTGTGCAGGGAGGTGATGGGGCCGATATCACGCTCAAACGCCAGGTTTTCTTCCTTAATTATTTTTTTTTCTAATTAAGGGTACTCACTTCATAGAGGCGGGGTGTTCCCCAAGAGGATCTCTCGATCTCAGGGTCCATCTACGACTCATGAAAAATTACTAGTCATTAGCCAGATTCGAACCTAGGACCTTGAGCTCTGGAAGTCAGTGCTCACCCACGTACCTCGCTCTCAATAATGAATTGAAGAAGACAGAATTACATCTCCTACACTCAAAATACAATATGTCCTGGCGATATCCTTTGTTCGTATCGCTATGGATTATCTCAACTTTGTGACTGCTATAATGTAATATATAGTAATATCACCGTATCACCCTGACAGAAATATCGTATCGCCGAGAATAAGCGAGTAAAAGTAGCACAATACTTCTACCAAAAATCCGTGCTGCCGAGAGAGAGGTGTGAATTGGTACTGATAAAGGTGATAACTAGTACATGAAGTGGATCTTGGACGCATCATTTCGTATCGGCGAAAATAAATATTCACTCCACTAAGAGGAAATCGAATCAATATCGATGATGACCTCTAAGCTAATATGTTGAACAAGATTCGATCATAGCAGATATTTAAGATTTAACATGCCAATTAAATTGTATAGAATATTGGATTCATGGTACTGAACAGATACTACCGTAGCTATAGTTGATAGAGACGTGAACAGTGTGGATACGGCCCCGTCCGTAGTATGTCATTTAGCCGAGCTCTCCTAATGGCGGAACATCCAAACAGTAAATGGGCTTTATCCCTCCTTGTTTGAGATAATGGACTGCGCTAATGTTTATTGGACATCGGGCCTGCTCTGATGAGCCTCACCTGCCTTCTGTTTCTGGCACCTGTTTGCTTTGGATATAAAGTGCCATCCGCCGTACCGTCTAAATTAGGATATTATTGTACAACCTTGAATAGGCTAAACACTCTATTAATTTAACTTATAAAATACTGTTATTAAATTTTCATATTCTCTACGCCATTCTAGATTAGGGCAAATTGCCTTCTAAATATGTCAAATAACAAACTGAATTTCGGAAATTAACCAACTGATGAAGGTTCATCAGTCCATCAAAGGCATTTGTCCGCAGAGAAAATATGATGCCTCAGAAACTTTTTTAGAGAAAACAAACAAGCATTTAGGTTCAAAATAGTTCTGTACTATGATATTTTGAACTTTTTTTTTAATCAGCTATTAATTGTAGTAGCGTGAATTTACATTGGAAAGAGTTTGAAATTAAACGTCAAATACCATTAAATTAAAAAAAACAAACTATAATGATGAATTATCATAACATAAAAATACACATTTTAATTAAACTAATTAAATGAATTAATATTAATTCAACTTCAACTCAAAGCCAGACTATGTAACTGAATGACGTTGAAAAAATGTCAAGTCATTACTTATATAGAATTGTATCTTATAAGCTTCATCATGTAAATGTGATGGCAACAGTGAGCAAACATACGACCACCTCCTGTATGACTGCACTAGACTGGATAAATACAGATACAAATTGGTCTCTGCTGTCATGGTGAACGGAGACCAATGGCCGCCTTTAAAGAAGGATCTGATTGAAAAATATTTCTCAGAATTTGATGCATTTGTGGAAAGAATTGATTTCTCTGAGCTTAATGATCCAACGGCTGCCTAACCACCTCTCAACATTTTCTACATCAGTTGTTTTACCAAATCGTACATTCTCTGTAACCCTCAATTTTTATCCTAAATCTTTATCCTTTGTTTTTATCCTACCATATCACATTTCTGCTGTAAATATTCTACTTTTCACTATCTAATCTCTAATGTATCACTGTTGTTTATTATTTCAGTTATTGTATGTTATATTTAATTATTTACTTAGATTACTACAATTTGTTATATACATTTATTTATTTTATTTTCTAATTATTCAAAGAAGTGTAATATATCAATACTATGTTACTTAAACTATGTATCTCAATACGCGTTATGTCGCAAGATGGTAAGCGTAGAAGTATATGCGACCATTACAGGGTTACTGTAATGTGGAAAAAAAAAAAAAAAGCTTTATCATTTTTTTTTTCGACTTCTATGACCATTAATCTACGAGTGCTGCTTCGTATTGAATATAATTACGAATTCGTTAACTATGGTATTTATTTCTTATTATATTATCATTTAATGATCAAATACAGATGTGAAGTTTATCATATGTACAGAGTTGTATCTCATCTCCATCTTGAATTAATAACTTTTCCAAAAATTGTTCCAGTTCTGTTACCACTACAGATAAAATAATTTTTCACAAGCTTTTGGGCATAAAAGGTGTCGAAATCATTAATACTTTTCGAGAAAATAAAATATTTTATATGTTATTTTACTTTCTGCCATGACTAGAGTAGGAAAATGTTTATCGCTATATAATAATTAGTTCCTTTTTAAATCATATCAACATCACTGAAATCTCATCGAGATTTATAAAACTGATTGAAAATGTCTGCCCGATTATATTAACCCTGAAAGTAGGATTAATATAATTCTGCTGTAATTTTAATTGGGCACATAATTACCTATAATTCAAGGCAATGGTTTGTTTGAATTTTTAAAAATTAATATAATAAATTCTACTGGCCTTGCACTGAAGCAAGTTTAGTGGATAAATTTAATTTTATCACAAACTTCCTTTCAATTTTGAACCTCATTAAATGAACCGTTTTTAAAATGTAAGTGTATTAAGGAGAAATTCGATTGTGCACGCAGAAGTGAAAGTGGTTGATATTTCATAAAATTGATTTTTATTCTTTCCCCTGACGATTCTCTAGCTTTGGGCCAAATCGGACTAGCCGTTTTCCATTTGTTAAGAAAAAAACTTTTTAACGTAGGCAAAAGTCGTTAGGTTGCCTCCGTTGGCTCTCATTAGTCCCAACTTACCATTCGAATCCTTTAGTGAATTATCAATTTCTGTCTTAGTTTATATATATATATATATATATATATATATATATATATATATATATATATATATTATATATATAATATATATATATATATATATATATATATATATATATATATATATATATATATATATATATTTTATTACAGACGATCTGAGGTAGTTGATATTATCAAATAAATAAAAGTTACCTCAGAAAAAATAATTTTAGTGAATTTAGTATTTAAGTCCTGTCACACTATTTCTCTGCGGTTATGAACTGCATAATTAATTATTATATTATATTAAAAAATATTAAATTTTATATTGATACGAGTTAAATAATAATTCTTATTTTCGTGCGAATATTCGTTTTTGAGTAAAGATTCGCCCTCCTCCCCCTACCCACACACAACCAGAACTATTAGATCGATCTTCGGTAAGTATATAGTATTTGTCAACGCTTTGAACTTCATATAACTTTTATGCAAGTTATTGCAAGTTTTTTCTTTACAATCAATTAGTTTATTATTGATGAAAAACTTGGGAAATTCTGACAGCGTATTTTGTACCACTAATAGGCACTCAGGTTTTGGGATCAACACATTTTTTTTAATATAATTAAAAAAAAAATTCTCCAAAATTTTTAACAAGGAAATGGCGAACTACAGATGAATATCTTAAAAGCTCAAACCTTTCTCCTAAAGAAAAGTGATATGAAGAGCTCCCTGAAACAAACAACCATCCTTGCTCCATTGAAAAATCAACTTAAACGGGTGTAGTGGCAAGTCACCTGAGGTTCAGGCCTCACCTTTTTAAGTGTTCTAGCATCAAATCTAATCGTATTTACACTCTCTTATAAACGTACATTGCTTATTAAATTTTAATGATTTGGAAACTATCTAGTACTGGCACAGTTATTATTATTGGTATATTTACTACGAAGTCAAAAAGGAAAAATATACCAATTCAGTAAATAAGTAAATTATATTATTAAATTTTAGATGTTAATAATGATCCATAAACTCCACCCCAAATTCTCCAATCACATATCACAAACCTTGAAGAAAGGTGTAAAAACTGGAGAAGTAAATAATCAATAAATCCCATCAAATTACTTTTACCCTGCGACGCAAACCTATGACCTCCTGTCCTACAGTATCCCCTCCGAGGAGTCTGAAAAAAGGTGGCTTCGTGATCTTCTTGTGTTAATTTATTATTAGAGTGCTACCAGCGGGTAGTTTCTTAACAAGCGATTTCATATTATTATATTTCTGAGTGCACATTTACTATATATATATATTTTTTTTTAAATAGGTTTCAACTAAATATAAATAACTTGCATACAAATTACATGAAGTTGACAAATACTATATACTCACCGAAGATCAATCTAATAGTTCTAGTGTGTGTGTATGAAATCGGTAAAAGACTAAATTTTCTGTCAATTAAACTCATTTACATAGATCTACCGTCAGAAATTATAAGTTGCGATTTACAATAATGTTGAAAAATTCTCTTAAAGTGTCTATTACCGGTACATTTACCGTAGAAAAGTTATTATGCCATATACCGGGAAATTCATTTTACCTTCGCATAGTTCAATTTAATCAAGAAATCACTATTCTTTGAAGCTCATCTCTCCGCTTCAGTCGAGTGGAAAATAATTAAATTCCTTCATTAGAGTATAAAGCTCGCTGGGAACAACATAATAACCACTTGAGCATATTCTCAACATGACTGGGTGCTCCTCGCAAATCTCAGACGAGACGAGGGCAGCTTTGAGGAAACGGCGAAGCACGGAGGAATTAAGCCCTAACTGCGAAAAGGGATTAACAATGTTAGTGACTTGGTATGGAGGAGATTAGGTTTTCCTCGTAGGATCAAGAGCAGTGTAAGCACAGTGCTGTGTAAACCAACTTAGGCTTACACGGTACTTTAAAATTTTATTTAGCGATAAGTTTAAATTGTTCTTCTCTGGATTGAATGACAGTCAAAAAAGCTCTTATGACATGATGATTTGCATGTATATATATATTTTTTAAATTACCAAGTGAGAAGAAACATTAAAAATAAATACATAGGACGAAGCAATATAATATATATATATATATATATATATATATATATATATATGTTTTTTTTTTTTTTTGGATCTAAAGATTTCTTAAAGAATTGAGAGTGTTCAGTCATAAATAACAAAGCCAAAATAAAGAAGTTATTTTTATTTTTGCCGACGTTTCGGCCGTCATCAGGGCTTCTCCCTCGAAAGTAATCGTAAAACCAAGGAACATTTCGTGAAAGCAGCCCTGCTGAAGGCCTGAACTATGGGCCGAAACGTCAGAAAAATAAAAATAAATATTATTTTATTATAATATTTTATTTTCTAAACACCACAATTAAATTATTTTAAATATATCGACGGCAGTCAATTATTAATCCACTTTATAATTCTGAAATAAATTAATAATATGACAATAAATACATGCCTGTTTTATTTATTTTTAAAATAAATTTGAATTTATTGTATTGAATTGACCTATGATCTAATATTTATAAATTAAATTTGTCTCGAAACTTACCTTCCTTAAGCACCCGACGAAGTTATTGTGTACTTTTGATCCGGACAGCTTGAGTACGTTTTCGGCACCTCCTACATAAGCTCTTGATGACGATAGCATTGTAAAGGTTCCAGCCGTGTTGGAATGTTCGGCATACACACCGTCCACAACTAGTGACAACTAAAAAACAAAAAAAATAAACAAAATATTAATAAATACGTTGTAATATACGAGAATGTGCTTAGCAAATATACTTTAATGATATATGTATACTATACGCATATTAAAATACATGCTTAAGTAATAATATATGTATATATATATATATACATCACTAAAGTAAATTTTCTTTTTGAACAAAAATCGAAACTTACTTCATCACTATTCTAACAGTTTCATAATTATAATATTAATAATACCAGTAAATACAATGTTTTTTTTTTCTGCTTATTTTTCATGTTTACATCGCAACGTGTCATCATCTTGAGTTATTATTTTAGTTGAACCTTCGTCTATGAAACCAAGGTTAGGTATCGATCCTGGGAGAAAATATTTATCTAATATCCTACGTAGTACTAGATAGGAATAATTTCAGTTACTTCACAGTGTAGCTTAAACTATAGAAGAATAGATTTCTGTGATATTAGTTTATTTATCAAGAGAGAAGTGTTTTTCTTATTAAAACACTTTTCAAATCCTTTATCAAATTACATTTAAAGTTGTGTAATATTAATAAATTCAACCCCAGAAGTCTGGACACAATAGATGCACCCTTTATGTAATTCTTATTTTTTAATAAAACTAGAAAATATTAAAGAATTATTTTATTAAATTCATCTTTAGAGTTCCCAGTTACACCCACGTTTCTAAGCCGAGTTGAAGTGGCTCTATTTTGTTTCCAAACGGTAATATTTCCTTTGTATATTTAATTTCTGAACCTTTTAAAACCTAAAAGCCATCTTATATTATTGATTTGTTAACTTCTTGTTCCTCTGTCCCTTCTTTTAACACGATATCTCAGCACACAAACCTATTTATTCCTTCTCACGGTACTGTTTCCTTTAAAAAATCCTTTGTCATGAGTGCTACCTTGTTTTGGAATTATTTACCCACCTCCATACGCAAATCTTCTTCCTCAACTTCATTAAACATAATTTATTCGTCCACCTCTTTAACAATCAATCTGCCGAACATATCTAAGAATAAAATTTTCTTATTTAAAAGCTGTCAACCACGTTTTACTGTTATCCTACTTATATATTATCTACATTGCCTATCTGTACAGATATATGAACATATTCCTGTATATTTATCTACAATTCAATATGTTTACTAGAGATCTGTTATTTTTAATTTTAGGATTAGATATTTATGTTACTCAATTATTTTTTAATTGTCTTCTAATGCCAGACAAATGTCACTTTTCAGGCCATTAAAATCACTCTTGGATGGACTAAAAGGAATAGAATAAAGTTTAATTTTATTTCTTCTTTCTTTCTATCATTTAATATTTTATTTATTGGTTATTATCTATGATTAATGAAATAAAATAAAATTTATAACTATAAACTCATATAAATGAGATAAATTGTTCCTTCAGTACATAATTGTGTAAAAATTTTTGCTTGTAACTTGTTTGGTCTATATTTGAAATAAAATAAAATAATTCACATTGAATTTAAAATCTTGCTTATATTATGTTTAAATCAATTTCATAATTTTACAATTTTTCTAAATGAGTTGATGACGCAACCTTTTATATAATATCATAGTTTAGTTGTTATTAAATTTAATTTTGAACTGTTTATTCATGAAAAATTTATTCTTTTTATTGATTAATTTTATGAAATGAAGGATAAGTAAGGTAATAATAACAATCATCTTAGTTAGAAATTCATCGTAGATTATTTTATTTGAGAACATGTAATTATAAAATTGCCAATGACCCTCTAGGATATAGACGACTACAAATAAAAAATTATAATAACAATCACTTATTAACAAAATAATAATTATTTATTAATCCCATGAACGTTGCTTTATTATTATTGCATAAAATTTCTTTTTCAATTCTTTATCGAGAAATATTACAATCTGTCGAATCACAAGGACAATAGTAACAGTGATAGAAGAGTGGCTCATTTACATTATGTACAATAAATAAACAGAAAAATAATAATGTTAAAAGTAATGCATATAAACTAAAAGAACCTAAACTAAACAAAAAAAAAAAACTCAACTAATAACTACTTAAATAACAACCTGCCGCATTTAACAAGAATTAGAGCTAAAAGTATCCACTCATACAAAATATATGCAAGAAAAATAAATGAAAGTTATTAAGTAATGCGATGAATTGTTCCTTCAGTGTATAACAGTGTAAAAATGTTTACTTATAATTTCTTTGGTCTATATTCGAAATTAAATAAAAAAATTCACACTGAATTTAAAATCTTGCTTATATTATATTTAAATCAATTTCATAATTTTACACTTTTGTTATTAATTTTACTTCCAAACTGTTTATTCATGAAAAATTTATTCTTTTCATTGATTAGTTTTGTAAACTGGAGAATAAGTAAGGTAATAATTACAATCATCTTAGTAAAAAATTCATCGTAGATTATTTTATTTGAGAACATATAATTATAAAATCGCCAATGACCCTCTAGGATAGAGGCGATTACAAATAAAAATTATTAAAAAAATCAATTGTTAACAAAATAATAATTATTAATTAATCTGATGAACGTTGCTTTATTATTATTGCATACAATTTGTTTTTAAATTCTTTATCGAGAAATATTACAATTTGTCACATCACAAGGACAATAGTAACATTGATAGAAGATAGTTCATTCACACTATGTACAATAAATAAACTGCAAAATAATAAAGTACTAAAAGTAAATGTACATATATAAACTAAAAGAACTTAAACTAAACATAAAGAAACTAAACTAATCAAAATAAGTAATTAATTTTCTTTTTAGTATTCCTTATATTATTATTGAATATTAACACAGCCTACCACACTCAAGGGCAATATGCATTAGAACCTAAAGTATCCACTCATACAATATATATACAAGAAAAATAAATGAAAGTAATTAAGCACCAATTAAAAATAAATAAAATAAAGTGAATAAAACGTAACAAACAAAACATAAACTAATAATAAGTAGTAGTAAAGAAAGTACACTGATGAAATTTAAATAGTAAAACTTAATCCACTCATCCTTTAGTTTTATCAGTAGTTGTTAATGGTTCAGCGGCTTGGTAACAACTCATAAAAAAAAGCTATATCTAAATTTTTTGTGACCAGTAAGTAAAAAATGTATAAATTTTCTATGTGCAATAAACCTTGGATTTTAAGAACCGTTGTAAATTTGCTCTTATCTACTGTCCATAAACGCCATGCTGCGTCGCCCTTATCAAGCTGTATGGAGGGGGTGGTATGCATGTGGTGGACTGGGTTCCACATATTCCCAGGAGTTATTACAAGAAAAAACGAAACGGAACCATTGCTACGATTTTTTTTTCTATTTTAAATAAAACAAAATAAAATATGGATGTTCCTTTTGATTATATATTCTGTATACTGTATAACCTCACTCATTAATAACCAAGGTATTATCGAAAATCCTTTTCAGCTGGGGATTGCGAACATCATATGATAAAGTTGCTTTTAATACATTTTTCCTTGTTATTCATAATTTTATCTAAACCTCTATCCTCTACTCCACCTATATAACAACAGAACAGTAAACGATACTTTTTTGTATCAAATATCGACTTCTATAAAAGTGACTAGCTTCATCCTATTTATATTTCTTATGAAATAACAAAACATTTGATTAATGATTTCTTTTTTCTTTTACCAGTGTTTTAGCCCTTAAAGGTGTTTTGAAAGGAAAAGAATTATTTTAAAATTAAAAACATTTGGGCTAATAAGTCTATGTCACATTTTATTTTTATATAATACTAAAATAGCCGTATGAAAAGAAGTTTCAGTATTCTATTAAAAAAAAAAAAAACTCACTGTCAAATTATCATAAATGTGTTTATATAAGAAGAAATGTTTTATTTTCCTTTGAATTTGGCCTTAAGAGCTAAAATGTGGGCGAAAAAAAAATTAATTAAGACTGGTGGATCCAATCTGTCCTTTATGATTAGAAAGTTTGTTTTATTTTTAAATTCATCTCTGAATAATTAATAATGCTTAAGAGTACTCAATTCAAAAGGGTAATAAGAGACTCAAGAAAAAATATGGATATAAGAATTCCTTTTTTTTTTTTTTTTATGGCTTTAAACATTCATTCCGCACCTTTTAACATAAGTTGAATATCTGCGAATGTGCTGAATATAAAAAAAATAATGACATGTCAGACATTGGTATGGATAATACTCAGCAGCACTTCTTCCCTGACTTGTTTCATTTACTTAGGTTGTTTAAAGACGGAGAACTATGAACCAACGTCTTTTTAATCTCATTCTTATACCCAGGAGTATGACATCTCTTGTAATGTCTTAATGGTCTGTTGTTATGTCCTTTTAAATTTGTATGGGTAATTATATGTTGGTTAACTGTTGGAAGGTGTAAGTCAGTATGTAGAAATTTGTTAGCCATGTACAGTTTCAGTTTTGAATTTTGAGGAAAAGAGAGTAAAGTAGTTTGTTAATGGTCTTACATTTCATTTTTACATTCGAATCACAAAATATGAAAGTCAATATTTTACAAAAAAATTTAAATTCACTATATCAAGTAGCGAAATTAAATCCCTAAACCTATGTTCAGTGACGGTTCTTGAATTTAATTTTAAGGGACGTGCTTTTTTTTTTTCGTATGGTAGCATGCCAAAAAAAAAACAGGAACAATAATGTTTTTATCAATAATTTTTATATATTTTTTCTTGACACGTGCTTATATTTAGCAGCTACAATTCATGCATTATAATTTAATAAGAGGTTATTCTTAGAAATAAATATGTACCTATAAAAAAAAAATATATTTTTCTGATTCAGGTGGAGGGGCTTCTCTTCAAAAGCTCCTCTTCCTCCCATGGATCAACCGGTACCTATGTCGAGTGATAAAGCTCTTCAGTTGTTTATCCATATATATTTTTATCGGATTAATTTTTTTTACCATTATATTTTGTTTCGTCATCTCCAGAAAGTCT